GAATGAGCCAGCAAGATCTGGGGCCCTGTTGAGGCCAGAAAAGCCCTTTAACGTCTCCTAACCCTAGAGAAATTATATGAAATTCTCGGAACTGTCTTCTAGAACCTCCAACTGGACTCCCTCTGCTTCTTCATTTACAACTACACCAAGAGGGATGGAGGTCAGACTCAGGGAAGGACTTCCTGCCTGTGCTGGTATATGAGCAAAGCTGAAGAGGGTTCTCCTGAGAGGGTGCTTAAGACATCCCATGGCCCGTTGCCGGCCCTCCCCTCCTCATCTCCATTTCGTGTGTGTGGCACCTGGTGTTGGAGACGGGCAGGGGGGTAGTGGATTCAGTGTCTGGCTGTCAAGGAGCCCAAGCGGCCTTTCTGCCCTGGGGCCCTTCACTCGGGGATGCACTCTCCCACTCAAGGCCTGGAGAGTCCCACGGGTCTGTCAGTTCAGGACCAGGCTTCATGCCCATGTTTTCCACTGAGCCACAGCTAGCATTTGAGGCTCCTTTCAGCTTGGGGCTGTTGCTCCCACCCTCCTGCCCAGTCCTGTATTTGATTTGAGCCCAAGGGTGGTGAGTCACTGGGGACAGGGCTGGTCCTCCCAAACCTGCTGTGACTTTGGAGATGCAGAGAGAAGCTCTTCTGGCCTCACCTGCCTCTTGGACCAGCTGCCATCTCTCCCGCGGCCAGCCAAACACCACTCACCCCACTCCCCACTTTATCTGCCACTATCTCCTGGGACTGTGTGGTGCCGAGATCTCTTCTTTTGGGCCTCAGGTTGAAAGTCCGTGTGTAACCTCCCTTTCCCCACTGTTCCCACCAGCTGATCCCCACAGTGTCCTTGTCCAACCCCATACTCATGTTCTCCTCTTTACCCTGGCCTCCACCATTCCTGATACACTTCTATAAGAATTCCATTCATCATCCCTCCACATGCTATCCATCTATCCATCCAGCATCCCTCCATACACCCATCCCTCTACCTAGCACCCATATATGTATCTATCTATCCATCCATCCATCCATCCACCATTCCTCTCTCTACTCATCCATTCTTCCATCCAACCATTCCTCTATCCACCATCCAAACATCTAACAACCTGTATTAAGGGCCTTCTGGATGTCAAGGCCTGCACTAATGCTGGGACAAGGTCCAGTCCTGGTCTTCAAGGTGTCACCCTGGAGTAAAGAATGTAGACAATCTACTATGTATGCAATTGTCACATAATCAGGGAAGGCTTCCTGGAGGTGAGCTCTGAAGGAGAACTGGATGAAATCTTTATTTTCCATCTAGGTTCAGCTTAGGCCTTCTGGCTTTGGGCTCCAAGCTCTTAGAATGCTCAAGACTGAATCACACCACATGGAGGTTCCAGAGGACAAGTGGGCACCCTAGGGTAGGGACTGAGCACTCATCACACAAGCATTCCCTCAGAAAGGGAAATAGAGGAGTGTTTTGCCTCTTCCGTTTGAATGGGGTTTCTCCAATGGCAGAGTGGTAACCTGTAGTCCTCCTCATCCTTCCCACTGCCCAGGCCAGGACTTGGATGCTTTAAAACTGAGCTCAGAGGATGTCCTGTGGCTGATTCGCCGACAGGGGAGACCCTTGTGCCCCCAGCTGCCATGTGGGTTAAGGCTCAGATTTTCCTTGGCCCCCAGCCCTCCCTTCTGCTTGGCCCGCTTCTTCAGCATCCATAGAGAATTCACAGCAAGACCCTCCGGTCCCAGTCTCAGCCTGAACTCCTGCTTGCTCATCAACACTGATTGAATATATACTGTGGGCCCAGGAAGGGAGAGGGGAGGCAGCCCAGGGGCTTGTAAAGAAGGCCTCCACCTGCTCCAAGTCCTGGGAGCAGGACCCTAAGGCTTGGGAGTGACGCAGAGGTAACAACTAGTACCGAAGGACCACTCTTTAAATCTAGTAAAGAAGTTAAAGCAAAAATTAAGATAGCAAATATTTACCTAGAGCTTATTACATGCTGACACTGTTTCAGGTGCTTGGTGTCTGTTAACAGAGAACATCTCCACAACGAGAGGACAGGGCCGTCACCATCCCATTTTATAGATGGGAAAGCCGGTGCGCGAAGAGGTTGGACAGCTTGTCCAGGCGCATCGAGCTGGTATCAGCGGTAAAGCCAGAGCAGTCTGGCTCTTGAGCGCTTCACCACTATTCTTCTCCATCAGTCTCGGCAGAAGCCCCTTGTAGAAAGTGAAAAGCACAGATCCAGGGAGGTTCAGCATCTTTCCCTCCCCCAACACACACAGCTGGTCCATGACCCAACCAGGTTCCTTCTCATGCATGGCAACTACAGACCCCGGCTTCTCCCTCTCCCTCTTTTACTCTGGGTGCTGGGGGAGAAGGCGGCACCTCCTGCCCGCTGTTTCTAGAAGTTCGGTTTATTCTTTCCAACCAGGCAAAGGTCGGTGAATGTACAAACACACACGCGTGCAGGCACACATACACACCTGTGCACACATGCACACACGTAATGCCTTTTCCATCTACAGTGCACCTGGTAAGCAAGCTTTCTCATTCTTTAGAACGCAAGAGAGCCAGCAAGTAGGTCATAAAGGCCTCCAAGGTTTATTAATCCCTTCATTGATTTGACAAATGTAAAATATTTATGGTCCATGCATTAAAACTCTTGCGCACTTTGCTCATAGAAAACCCGCTGGAGGAACAGTTTACAAACAACGTTGACAAGTGACTCCTCCACTCCCCTCCACAGAAACGTGAGTGTCATGATCTGGTCACTACTGTGTTCCTGGTCACGCCAGGAACACAGGCCAGCACGTGCAGGCTCCTGGTTGACTGTGTGAAGCTCAGTGATCCTGGTCTCTGTTATCAGAGCTGATCAGCCACTGATTTAATCACAAGAGACAGAGCAGAGCCACCAGCACTGGGAGAAGCAGGAACCTTCGGAGCACAGCAGTGGGCAGTGGCCGCTCCTGCACAGAGAACGGCCCCCTCCCCTCCTGGCATTCTAGACACGGCCACCCTGGGAAAGGCGAACCCGGGCCAGGAGGAAAACTTTAGGTGATGTGGTACACAGAATAAGAAAACAGGGCACTTGGAATACATTTTAGAGAGATGTTCCCTCTAAGTCGTTAGAACGACAGTGTAAAAGTTTTGATGCTTGAAGGAGGCAATCCTCAGCCAGCTGAAAACTCTATTATACATAATCCTTAATTTCCAGATGGTTCATGTATAATACAGAAGTCTGAAATATGCAGCCCCAGGATTTTTTCCTCCCATGCCAAATGCCATGTGGCATCTGTAAACCCCTCCTTTCTTTTCAAAGCACGTCCACATCCGTTATCTAATTCGATGCCTGCGATAGTCCTGAGAGTCGGGTATTAACCCTATTTTGTTATAGCAGAGGAAACAGAGGCTCAAAGAGGTGCTGGGTCTTGGGACAGTTATGTTGGAGACCTGCATAGAGCCAGGGCTCCTGGCTCCTAGTTCAGGGCTCTTCCTTCCTCCTTGCTGGCTGTGAAGGTGGGGACCTTCAGGATCTCTGGAAAGAATGAATCTGCTTTGGCCCATCCTGCCTGTCCTGTCTTGGGGCCCAGCGGGGTCCTCCTCCCCTGGTGGCTCTTCCAGACACCCGGCCACAGTGTTCCCTGCTGCTCTGAGCAGCCCCTCCCATGGTTCTGAGCTTGCCATGCCTCTTCCATGGCTAATTGTGAAATTGGGCAGAGGAGCTCAATGCCAGGCACCGGGCCGGGCTGGGCGGATGCGACACAGAGATGGATGGATGGATGGAAGGAAAGAAGTCCTGATGGTTGGGCAATGGGAGGGGGGACAAGTCTGGTTTCCTAAGTCTTGTTATTTTGCTTATGGGGGTGGGGGAAGGGAGGCTCTCTGTCCTTCCTGAGCTGCTAAATGCTGTCACAAAAACATTTATTAATATGCAAATTCTAAGTGGCAATCTGGACCCAGTCGGGTTGTGCTAATTTGCACATTAATATCTGTCTTCAGGCCGGCCTCAGCTCCGGAGAGGGAGGGGGTGGGGCTGGGAATGGGGACGAGGAGGGAGGGTGCAGGTGGGGCAGGGTGGGGGGGGGGTCCTGCCAGGGGCTTGTGGCCAGTCCTGACAAAGGCAACAAAGGCGGGTGAGCAGGGCTGGAAGCCAGCCTGCAGTGGAGGAACCAGCAAGTGCTGTGGTTCAGCAGGTTCTGTCCATAACCTAGACAGGCCTCTGGCCTCTTACAGGTGCCTGGATGGCCTGGGGCCACGACAGGAGTCGTGTGAAAAAAGAGATATTGCAGAAGCCTTAGCCCAGACAGGCCTCTGGTGCTAGAACAGAGTGAAGGTGGTAGGAAAAATAAGTGGGGGATGTCACAGGCCACTGTGGCCAGAGTGTGGCTACTGTCACCTCACCCACGGTAATGGAACTTTTGGGGTAGACGAATGTTTAAGGAACCCCTTCTGATTTACTTGCTCCTTCCTGAACCTGGGCCCAGGTCTCTGTTTTCCTTGAGTCACCTGCCCTCCTCAGTGGCCTCCTATCCTTCATTCCAGTCACTTATGAGTATAGATCCACACATCTCAGTCTCAGATTAGCGGGGTCAACCCCCATTCCAAATCTCCTCTCCCTTTGTCCCTGTACATACAGTTACATTTGTCAGACTGTGTGTCAGACCTTTGGTTAAGAAGATGGGATCACCTCTAATGGGTCACCTATAGCGATGGTGACAGTGGTAGGACATCAGGAGAGAGTGGTTGCTGAGTGAGTGGCCTCCTTTAACTTAGCTCAGTTAATCTGAAAGGCCAATAGCCATTGGAGCAAATGTGTCCCTTCTTCAGCCCACCAACCCAAAATACCCTTCTGCTGACTGGCTATATTCTAATTCGATTCACTCTTCAAACCCTGCCCTGTGCATTGAGAACCTCTGGGTTCTTGTCCTGTCCAGAAGGCTATTTCTATGGCACATTGTGCCACTCACTCGCAATACTGAATATTTCTCTGATCGTTCCATGTGTGAATCTTGTTTCTCTAGCTGCACAGGGAGCTCTCTCTTTCACTGTACCTGGCAGGGATGTGGCCTGTGTTCAACATATACTTAGCAATTTCCCAAAGTATTTTTATCAGTTAACACCTTTTACCTTCGTGCAAGAGTGTCAAGTGGCCAGGCTGTTATTTTCATACTTCTCAAGTGTGACATTTACTGTTACTTCGTTAAGTGTACATTTATGGATTTGCTTATCAAAATAAACTAAGCTTGCAATTCTGAAGATGGCCACCAGGTGGTGATATGTACCTTGGTATGTCCCTTTTGTTTGGGATGTATTTTCCAGAGGCAGGAATTAATGTATTTTTCTTTCTTACGTTTCTATTATTTTAATTTACCTGTTCTTATGTTCCCGGCCTATCCTGGAACACTCCTCCCACCCTGAAAAGAGTGTCTGCTTGGGGGAACAGATAGATGTACAAGGAAGATGATAGTATCATGTGCTATGTGAAGAAATAAACCAAGTGTTCTGGAAGCTTACAGAAAGGAATAATTAGCTCAAAGAAGGGGAAGCCTTTACACAAGAGGTAACATTAGAATGAGGCAAGTAGGGAGAAAACAAGAGTTTGCCAGGAATGTGTCCACAGGAAGGGAGACGCACAGAATTAAGTCAGAACTTGCAAGGGGAGGGAGAGGTGAGGACAGGGAGGGATAAGAAGTGATGTGGCTGATCAGAGAGTTCCTGGAAGAAGAGCAGGAGACTGGGTGCCTCAGCAGTGCCTGGTCCAGACCATGATGAGCCTTAAACACCTTCCCTTTACCTGCAGGAAGCATGGAGCACATCAGGGATATGGCAGGAGTGTTTTATATCTAGAGAAGTGGTTCTGGGGAGTGTGGGTGAAGGTGAGCCCCCAGCCGTGGGTAGCGGGGAGCTGGGCCGGAGCACTGCAGGGTCACGGGGATGGAGGAAGGTGGCAGAGGTAAGCCGGGGTGGGGGGGGGGGGGGTGGAAGGAGGGAAGTCTGGAGGGCCCAAAAGGGGATGGATGGGGAGGAATTGGCACTGACGGCACCGAGCTGGCCTGGTTTGGAGACAGTGTAGATGATGACACCATTAACCAAGAGAGAACACACGCTTTCCCACTAATTATCCTTAGAAAAAGTCAAAATAGAACTTTTGATTGAATTAAATTAACTTGAACATGGCGCTATTAAACAGGAGATTGGAAAGTCTTCTAAAACAAGCCTATAAAGAAAAAAACCACCTAGGTACAATTCAGTCTCTTTCTCAATAATCTTTAACTGTTATGGTCCTAAATAGTTTCTCTTTTCCTAAATAGTTTCCCCTCTAGGGTCTCAAAGAAGAAACTCTTGACTACACGCTCACCTCCTCACTTTGCTCTCACACCTCAGGGTATGTACAGAGTTGGGTTCTGTGAATTCTCTTTGCATTAAAAAGGTTTTATGCCCTCCTATAGGATAAGCGTGCACTTTCTCATGCTTACCTGAAAAAGAAACCACCAGCAGAAAAAAAAAAAACGTGCCTCTCATTAAGTCCCGGGGCTTTCTCGGCTCTAAGTGGTAGCATCAGAGAGAGATGGGGTACACAGGGATGCATGTCCTGCATCAGGGCTCCCCAGCCTCTGCTGGCCTCACTTGGGATGTTTAGATATTGCTTTGACCCTCACGCAAGGCACAGATTCTAGCAGATCAAGGACACACACCACCCCAAAGTTCCTCTGGTTCTTTGTGCTGGGGGTTATTTGTGTCCAAGGCTCTTCAGCAGAACCTGGAAGCCCCCTTCCTTTCCTGCCCTCCTACTGGTTTCCACTGGGCTGGCAGGCAGGTGGTTCCAGAGGGTGCATCTCAGCCATCTGAGCCCCACAGCCAAACTGAACCCACACCCTGGGCCAGGCCCTGTTCCCTCACCAGTAGCAGACAAAGGCCCTCAGAACCTGCCCCGGGCCCTGGCTAACCTCCACCTCTGTGGTCTGAGCCCTGGGTGCCTGGAACCACAGCCAGCCAACTGCTTCCTTAAGCTCCAAGTCCCCTCTTGTCACCTGAAGGCTCCCATTCCATCCTGCCATCCAGGATCCTGGAGCACCCCCTAATGCTGAATCTAAGGCTGAGCCAGTCTCCACCCCCTGGGACTGGATTCAGCTGCTCCTTCTGAATCACTTTGGACAAACCCAGAGACTTGCTAGAACCCCGAGGACACACGGGTCTGGGGCCTTTTCTGGCCTCAGCAGGCTGGTGGAACCGTGCAGTGCTCACTGAAGCTCTGGGGCCCTCTTGTACCGTTGAGGGCTGGACCCTATTTTGCAACATCCTGAACAGATTATCAGCATGTTCTGCTTTCCCCCCCAACCCTTTGCTCCTCCCAGCTCTAATCTCAGTAGACACACCCCAACTCCCCAAAGCAAGGCCTGACAGGGAGGGCCCTATACTCAGAGCCAAGCAGAGCCAGGGTCGGGTGTCAGACAGCTTGCTGTGGGAAGGGGCTGTGTGCCCACTTTCCCCAGGATATCCACCCAGGCCCTCCTCCTTCCCCACTGGCTGGTGCTCTACATCAGTTATGGCCTGCACCCTCCTTGTCCCTGTTGCAATGCAACACCACTCTGGTTCGGGGACCACACTGTGAGTTAGAGAAGTCCTTTCCTTTGGGGCAGATGTTAGGAATGGGAGGGACGGTCTGAGGTCCCAGAAGGGGAAAAAGAAAGTGAGAAAGAGGGGTTAATGCCAATCTTGGCACATTTGTCAGGCTTAACCTTAAAGAGGCCTCAAGCTATGTATAAAGGGATGGGGGTGGGGAATACTGTCCCCACTCCCCAGATGGACCCCCCACTGTCAGCCCCTCCTACCTGCTGCTCTGGCTTTTCCTGTTCTGCTCTCTCCTCAGCTTTTTCCCCTCCTCCACCTTCCCCTTCTCCTCTGTCTTCTCCTCCCCATCCTCCTCCCCACTGTTCTCTGCACCAGCCCCCACCCCCAACAGCAGTGCCTTGGGCCAGACTAGACTTGACCCCACATGGGCCCCTCTCCTCAGTTACTACTGAGCTCAAGACAGCAACAGTAATTCGTTAGCATGATGGGCCATACACCCGAGCGGTCATTGCCATGGTCTGAGGGAGGAGCAGCCAATCCCCTCTACACAAGAGTCGGGGAACATTCTACAGCCTCCACAGGACACCCTGTGGGCCTCTTCCATCTGGTTACCCTTCTTCTCTATGCCCTCTGCTCCCCCATCTCTGCTGCTGCCTGGAGCACCTCAACACCTTCCATCCTGGCTCCTCCCACCCAGGGGACCTTCCCCAGTGGAAGGTGGTTCATTCTGTCAGCGGACTGAGATTTCCTAGGTACCGGCTGCTGTGGGAGGGGCTGGGGCGGAGCCAACACCTCCTCCACAGGGCTGGGACCCTGTGCTAGTGAAACTGGGTGGAAGCTAGCCCCACAAAGTTCCCGATGGTCAGTTTAAAGTGCAGAGAACAAAGGAGGAGAGGGGCTGGGAGGACTGAGAGCTGGGACACACCTGGAATGTGGGGCTGGAGCCAGAGGCAGCTCTCAGGCTGAGGCCCACGGCTGGCTCAGATGTGACAGGGACAGGGAGGGGCATGCTGGTGGGGCATGCTTCAAATCTCCCTCAAGCAGCCCTGCCCTGCTCCGGGACCGGATACCCACAAGGTGGTGAGTCTAGCTGCCGAGCACTGCAGGCCGCAGGAATGCAGAGCTCCTAAAATTTATGGCTAGACTTTATGACAATGGAAATATTTTTTTAATTGAGGTTTGCACCACCATTACACTGCTAATTTAATTATTCCCTATATTTCATCCATCACCATCTGATCCTCAGGAAGCAAATAGCTTGTCTTCTTGACAAGAAAGCACCAAATTGATTAAAAGTGTGTGTAGGAGGGGGGTTGGGCTGTGATTTGCTCACCACGGCTGGACCTCTGGGTGCCCAGGGGAGGAGGAAAGCAGAGAGCCCATGTGTACCCCTGGCTTACACAGGCTCTCGGGAGCGTGGCCACCTCCCGGAAACCAGGAGACCCACACGCTACAGCCACATGTTCGAACAGCACCCCCTCCACGGCCCCATACCCACTCACACACACACACACACACACACACACACACACACACGTGTGTGCGCGCTGTCACACACTCACACACACACACACACACACTCAGATACATTTGCAGATATATACACTAGCAAACCCCCTGTGCCACATCCATACCTATCACACAAAGCTGTGCACAGCAAACCCACACTGGTCTCAAACACACACAGAGCCACACCTCACAGAGTCACACATTTCACCGAGGGCACAGGCAGGAAAGGGTCTGGGTCCCTTGCCCTTGCTCATGCTGTACAGATCCTTTGGGCGGGCCCGTGACCCGGTTCTGGGGACCGGGGCTCTCTCCTCTGCATGGGGTGCAGGGGCATCGGCCTTCCCTGTCCTGCCCAGGAGAGAGGAAGCAGCAGCAACCCCCACCCCCCACCCCCAGCCCCTCCTGACCTGCTGGGCCTGGGACATCCTCCAGCGCTTGCCTCTGCCCATCCCCTCATGCAGGTGGCATACATGGGTCATGGTATGTGCCACATGGGAACCCATAGTGCAGCTTAACGGGGGTGCCCGAGGCAGTGTGGCCGTGTGTTAGTTTCCCCCACTTGATTCTTTCTCTTCTTTACTCCCTGACGCCTCTGCTAGCTCCTGGAGCCCTGACGATGAGAGCTGGGAAACATCTGTGGCATCCCCACAAGCCTGTCACTCAAGCCATCACTCAACACACTAGGTTGGGCTGGATTTTCTAACAGTTCCGTGCAGGTGGGTCTACCACCCCACCTATAGGGCAACTCTTTAAAAGGTCACTGCTGGGTTTTCTCTCTTCCTCTGCAATCCTGCTGCCTCCTGAGCAAGGGCCCGGTGTGAATGGGTGGATGGCCTCTGGGAAAGTGGCTGGTGAGCCAGGCTCAGCTGAGGGTGGGGGGTGGGGCAGAAGGGCTGGAGGAGGAAGGAAGTCAGACCGGGAGCCACAGGAGGGAGGGAGCTGGATGTGCACTAACATGAGGAGCAGGATGGAAGTGAGGGCTGGCGGTGGGGTGGGTGCAAGCGGTGGCGGTGCTGCCATCAGTCATCGTGAAAGCTCCAGGTGCCTGGTGCAGTCCCAGCAGACCCTTGACCCAGCCTGATCAATCCTAATGGAATGGAGCAGAGGGGCAGCCGCCGGAGGAAGCGGGCCACCCGTCCTCCCTGATGCTGTCCTTGTAACTTTGTCAGCTGTCACAGCAGCCTAGAATGCAGAGCCTCCCCGCCTCGGTCACGCCGGCTTTGCCTGGCCATCTAGCTGCCATCAGACAGGGGACATGAGGAGGACAGGGCAGAGGACAGATGACCTGGGGAGGAGACCCTAAATCATAGACCGTAGGTGGCCAGAGACAGAAGTGTAAGGAGCAAGCAGAGAGAGGCCTCTGGGCAAAAGTTTCCTCTGCTCTGATTTATATTTGTTTCCTTGAGAGGGGCAGAGGGTGGGGGACCCCAAACCTTCTTGTAACCATCTAGGCACATGGACACACCTCTGTTCATGGTGCAGCTGAATCTGGCCTGCAGTTCTGTCCCCCTCCCTGTGCAAGTAGATCTTTCTTGTCTGGAGCCCCCCCAGCAGCACCTGTCTGTCCTCCTTGCTCTGAACTCGGGGGCCCTCCTGGCCCCAAGTAGTGATTGACAAGGTCCCCTGTTCCAGAATGGTCTTTGTGTGGGAGTGGTCCCGTCTTTCAGGCTGGGAGGCCTGGAATGCTTCTGTCATTATTGTCATCTGCTCACGGGTCTGTCTCCCACACCAGATCATGGCTTCCCTTGGCTGCCTGAGTGAGTTCTCTCCTGCACAGGGCCAGGCACACAGTAAGGACTGGAGGGGGCTTATTTGCCAGTGGTCAGATGAGGGGCAGAGGGTGGGGCGCCCAGGGGATGGGAGTCAGGGAAGGTAGGGAAGGGAGAAGAGAGGCAGACCTGGGACAGGGATTGGAGCAAGTGTGCTGGGCACAGACAGGAGGCAAACAGTTGAGATGGACATCATTCCATCTGCTGTAACCCACCCGGAGAGCCCAGATCCAGGGCACGGTTGGTCCCAGGGTGGCTTTTACTGTGCCGAGCTGAGAGTGGGGGTGGGGGGGGACGGTACATAAAGGATGCTGCCTGCAACTGGGTCACAGGAACTGAATTCAGAGGGACCTGGGTGGGGGCTGTAAGCCTCTGCTCCCCTTCAACCAAGATTACTTCTGTGATGGTGATTCAGCTTCACATGTTCATATCTGCTCATCACGGGGGCCAGGGGCAGGGGTGGGGGAGGACTGAAGAAAAGGCTGGAAGCTGAGTCTGGTGGCAGTTCCATCACCAATGACAGGACCTGGATCCACGTTGCCTGCACGGCCACACTCCAGGGTACCCACAGGAAAGGATTTCAGAATGCCACTCTCAGCCATCCTCGTGTTAGCTCCTGGGTTTGTATTTGGCCATCTGTTTTGCATAAAGGGCAACCCCTGATGCGCTGTTGAAATGCTCCTGGAATGTTTTTATGTGCACAGCCTGCGATGTGGTGAAGCCTCCTCTCCTCTGTGCACGTCATGTTGAATCTGACCGCAGAGAACCGTCTAAGCGCAGAGAATAGAGGGGAGGCCCCTGCAAGACCCGAGTCTGCCTTTCTTAAAACAACAGGCTGTTTCCTGAGTTTGAAAAATTCCTTCGTGCTCACAGGCGGATGAGATGTTGCCCAGTGCAGCCTGGTTGCTCTCCCAGGAATTCCTGGTCCCCAAAGCACTGGACCTGAATGCCCAAAAACCTATTCTGTAACTCACAAAGTCAGACCCTCTCTGTTATAGTGATGAGTGAAGTCACTCCATCTCAAGCTGCGCCCCACCCCCCCCCCCTCCTGTCCCATCCCTGCTTCAT